TGAGCCGGTGAGATTTGAACACCCGAACTGCAGAACTGCAGGCAGCTGAAGTAGCCTGCAGTGCTGCATTTCACCACTGCGCCACCTCGGCTCTTGGAAGGGCAATGGAAAAGAAGGCACTAGGAATATTGGCTCTGCCTCTCTGGGAACTGTTTTGAAGAGGAGAATAAAAATGATGCACACCAGTCTTGATCTACTCATCCAGTATCAGAATGATCCAGAAATCATTCTGAGGTTTCTTTTTGCTTGTTTTTTTCCCCATTTCTTCCCCCCAGCTAAAACCTGGAACAATAAAAAAATGCTCTGGACTGATAGCAACAAGAATGAACCTGGCAGCATATTTTCTCTTTGAAAAGAGAAACTTTGCTGGTGAGTATATTAGATTGAGAGATCAAAATCAGACAATATATTGCAGTGACAAAATTGACACCACTGTATATCTATAACAGAAGCTTCATTAATTGAAGCAGGAATGGCTTCCTTATATACAACACATTATACTGCAAGACAAATTTAGACATTTGAAATATGGTTTATCAGAAATAAATAGAAACCAACAACAATAATTAATGTTCAATGTAAAGCATGAATATAAAAATTATGGTTAGTAAAAAAAATAACTAGGTTAACCTAGAAATAATTAATTTGTTCCAAATTGTTATCTTTTATATTCTATTATTTAAGAATAAAATATTTTTAAAAATGTTCTGGGCTTTGTTCTTGCTGAAAGGAAATATTTACAGAGTTTACCGAACACATGTTAGCTTTGGGATGAAAACAAAACACATTTTCCATTGTGTGTACCTTATTAGGTAACAGCAAACATATGTTAGCATGATATGCAAATACACTCTCAGTGGTAGAATCCAATTAATTAAGCTTGATTACAATGCCAGGGACAATGATCTTACAGGTATATCTGCTATAAATGTAATAGATTGGTATTTCTACTACAGCAGTAAATGAAAATGGTTGCTCTCTGCAAGTTGGACTCTTTCATATTCATACTTTATAGTCACATCTAATCTATAGTACCATATTTTTCGGACGATAAGACGCACCAAGATTTTGAAGAGGTAAATTTTTAAAAAGGTTTTTGCCCTTTCCAGCCCCCAGGAGCACTCTGCAGGCTTCCCAAGCCCTCTGCATGTCCTGTTTTTTTGTGAAAAATGGGATATGCAGAGAGTTGGGGAGGCCTGCAAAGTGCTCCTGGGGGCTGGGGAGGGCAAAAATGAGCAAAAAACGGCCTTTTTTGGTAAAATGGGCATTTT